CTATGGAAAGCTGAAATGCTTGAAGGGCTTTTTCCCCTTTTGGTTAAAATTGATTTTTTAAAAAAATTAAAATCCATGGGAGAATTGTCAGAGTATGCATCACAACATCCAGGAATGTGTATGCAACCCATCACTTTGACTTCCCATAAGGCTACCACAAATTAAAATGGCAACATTAGGACAAATTTGTAATGCAATTTGGCTTTTTCTCAGAAAGGAAATGGGTGGATTAATTAAACCTCCCTCTCCCCAATTTGTTGTTTAGATTATGCAAAAGCCTGGAAGAATTATTTTAATCTGGGGGGTGATGCAGAACCTTAATTTTGGAATTTAGGCCCAGGGCTGTATACAGATAGTTCTTGACTTACAACAGTTCATTTAGTGACTATTCAAAGTTACAACACCACTGAAAAAAATGACTTATGACCATTTTTCACACAGCCTTTGCAGCATCCCCATGTTCACATAATCAAAATTCAGACACTTGGCAACTGATTCATATTTATGACTGTTGCTGTGTCCCAAGGTCATGTGATCCCCTTTTGCAACCTTTTGATAAGCAAAATAAAATGGGGAAGCCAGATTCACTTAACAACCGGGTTACCAACTTATCAACAGCAGTGATTCACTTAACAACTGTGGCAAGAAAGGTCATAAAATGGGGCAAAATTCACTTAACAAATGTCTCACTTAACAATAGAAATTTTGGGCTCAATTATAGTCATAAGTCAAGGACTACACCTGTACACCCAACTGGCCTTTTGAGGGCAACAATAATGCTAATGTGGCCCTCAATAAAATTGAGTTTGACACCCTGGACTAAAGCAATCATGGTTCTAGTCCTCTTGGTAGAGATGTCACCAAACATACTATCTCTCTGGACTGCAAGTGTTTGGGTATCAAGACAGTAGCTCTACTCCTTTAAAAAGTAGTTCCAGATCTCTGCTTTCTCCCCATGTTGTTAACATCTAAACAAAACCACTGGAAAAGATCATCTATCAGTTCAGGGTGAGATATTATCAGTATGCAGGTGAAGCCCTATATCTAGGTCAAGCAAGCGATACCCTGGATGTCTTTCTACCATGCCTAAAAGATCTGAAGTGGATGGGAGGAAACAAGCTAAACTGAATCCAATGAAATGAAATTTTTTGTCGTCCAGAAACCAACTGATTTATTGGTGACTCCAATAATAGCTCTGGATAAGATCATACGTCCCACAAAAGCAGGTCCACAATTTGGGAGTTCTCTAGGACCCTCCTACTTGATCAGCAGGTAGAGAGTGTGGCTAAAGGATATTTTGTTCATACCAACACCTAGACAGTATTGTGGGAGCTGCATTGACTACCAATATACTTTTAGAAAAATTCAAACTGACAGTTATGATTATAAAGTTTTTCATTGCTTGGGTCCAAGTTATCGGCGGGACCACCATCTTCTCTGAATCAAATTTGCCCTATTCTGTGTGTTTGATCTCAGAGGGCGAGATTCAGCTCTCCCAATTTGGAACATGAGGGGATTGATGATCTAGAAGACCTTTTCAATAATGGAACAGATTGTTCCACGAAACCCAGATAGTTCCAACATTCTTAATAGTTAGAAAAGATGATAAAGATGGTGCACTCCCAGCATGTGTTTGAGGTTCAAGTGCCAGCACTGTGCTATTGTAGATATTTGTGCCTTGTGTTTTTTCTTTTATTTCAGAATTATAGAACATAAGGGATCTAGTTAATTTAATTTTACTTCTAATTCTCTTTTAATGATATGTTTAATGAGTAATCTGGTGGTTTCTACTGACTGTTATTATAATCATAGTTTTATTATTTTTTTCAGCAATCCAGAATTTTATGAATGGGACAGGATAGAAACTATATAAATTACATTATTCAAAATTTGGAGACTGAATTGTACAATTTGGAATTGTACAATTCCAAAGATTCGCAAATAAATGAACTCTTGATTTTCATTCTTAATATCTTCTTGATAATTGCAATATTTCTAGAAATGTTATGGAATATATGGATGGAATAGTAATTCATCTTGCCTTTAGAATGGAGAGCATTCTTGAAGAATATTTGTTGATATTAAATAAAATCTCAAAATATTTCCATGCTATACAGTAACTCTGAACATATATGTTAGTTACATCAACTATGACTGTAAGCCGCCCAGTTACCCTGAGGTAAGATGGGTGGCCAATAAATTTTACAAATAAATAAATAAACTGTCCCCTGAATACTACCAGCCTCTTTACAAGCCACAGTAATTAAATTTGACTAAACAATGAGCCAGAAAAACTACTGATGACCATAAATGGACAAGTACATTAAGGAAGCACCTAAATTTCAAGAGGTGATCTCAGAAATATTTGATATCGCATTATCTCCAGTAGAATATTATAATAGTACACAAGAGAATCTTGTTTTAGGCCTAATGGATTTTTGATAAACAAATAATGGTAGAGTATTACTTCAAATGGCCTATAAACAAAGCAATTCAGTTCATTTCGTGCTTGCTTTTTTTCAAGAGACACTAATACATAAAATAGCAACTGATAAGATGCAGCTTGCTTCATTTGTAATGGAAAAATATTTCTGTCACAATGGGGTAAAACACAAAAATATTTATTTATTCATCTAAGGATATAAATATTGATAGAAAGAATAAAAGAAATGTAATAGTTAACTATTAGCCTCATTCTAACACTAGTTCACAAAACTCTATTGAGGATTAAATTACTCATTCTATCACAGAAAGATCACCATTTGAACTGATGAAAAAAAAAAGATAAAGCTTCCATAAAACTGACTCATTAGCAACAAGGTTTTTCTACACAACTCATCCTGTCAAGTCTAATTGTGTCCAGAGGAAACATTAGCGAAACAAGCATTATGTACTTTTAAAGGGTGCCAAAGAACGTATCTTCCAACAAAAGATTTGGTGGAGGTGAAGCTGCTCTATAAAATGAAGAAAGGGTTATTTCAGACTAAGATAATTCAGTGACATTTCAGGAGATTCAGTTAAATTAGAAATGAAATATTTTAAAAACATCTAAACCTAACCAAACAAACATTTACTGAATAATCTAAAGAGGATTTTGCTCTGAATTTTGTTGTTAGTTTTGCTGGATGAATACAAGAAACTTTTTAAAAAATCTTAACAAAAGAAGACAAACCATGCAGAGACCTTACTACAAACAATGCAGGAGTTTAAAAGAATACAGGTTGCTAAAGAATTTTCAGCATTTCATCACAAGTTTTTAACTGAATCTTGCGGGTCTATTAATAGTTATACAAAGAGGGTTTATATGTTACATGTGCATTTATGTTTTTAATTAGAAGCTTATATTAGTGAGGGAATTATAGAGGGGAAAAAGGCAGAATGAACAGAATGAGATGAAGTAGACTGAAAGAACAAAGTCCTTAATAAAATCCAATTTGAATTCAAAACCTTAGATATCAAGAGCCTCTACTGCACCATTTCAATACTCCACAGACATGCTAGATAACTCTGGATTAACAGTCATATAAATTCAAAATGACCACCATCTTGGATCCTTTAATAAGAGATGTGAAAGGGGGAAAAGGATTTATGAAATATCAACTATGAAGTACTATGAACCAAATACAATGCAAAAGAGTCCAAAATTTACCAAATTAAGAATTAAACTAATACGTGGAAGTTTTACTTAATAAAATCTACATACAAAGACAGTAAAAACTGTTGATATTACTAGAGATTCAGAAATGAAACTGGTTAAACAAGATTTCATGTGATAACTCATGAAGTCTGAACTTCCCATCACCATCACCTTTTTGACCTATTTTTCCTGAAAAGAAGCTTTCTGTAATTGTTTGATGGAGGACAAGGCAAACCCAGAAAACACAATGTGTTTACAACAATACTGATAATTTATTTGGTTTTCAACATTAACTTGTTTACTCCTAAAAACAAAAACATTTAAAGTTCCGCAGCTTATAGCTCCATTTGTAAAAGAATGAACATCCCAACTTGTATAACAAGTATATTTTGTGAGCAAATCAAGTCATACATATTGTATTTTTAAATGTTACTACTGCATGTCTATTTTTTTCTATTCTTTGAACTCCAGTTAAGTAGCTGGAAGATTTTATTTCCATTAGCCTTTTTCTTGAAGGCTATATGGTATATGGAAGAACAGAAAATAGAATAAAAAGTAAGAGTTCTTCAAATATAATTTTTGTAACATGAAAAAGGTAATAACTGAAGAAAAACATATGAAATGATCAAACCACTGTGGTTCTCTTTGGCTCTAATAGGGTTGATTTTAAAAAGTATTTTGAACAGCCCTGATAGATTGAATGAAAAGTGAATTGAATATATATGGCAGATGTGAACAAGCAACAACCTTCCTTTCATCAAATCAATGTCCAAAAGAATTTAGGGTAACTAGACAAGTTCATACACTTCGCTCAGTCACATTGCAATTATTATAAGTGCATAACTAACTTTTTAAAAAATTAAACTTCTCTTCCAGATTTCTGCTCAGGAAGAGTTATAAAGATGGCTGGTAAGTCTATAAAGGCTTGTTTACCAATGTCCCATCCATTCACTTTCCTCAGAGACTGACTGATCAACTGGTTGACTCCCGGGTTATTGTCTCCTGGAAGTTGGAGCACTTATCATTTAAAACGATTTAATTTTACCCCAACAGCTGCCACATCAACAGCAATATTACTACAGTCCATCAACAGTTTCAGTGATACAAGCGTGGATTTTCTTGTCATCCTTTTCAATCAATGCAATTTATCTCAAGAGTGCCAAGATTGTAATCCACACTAGTATCTGTGTACACAGATCAGACCGTGGCTATCTTTTTCCGGTTGATTAATCCGGAAGGACGGATTTTCATTCTGTCCTCGGCACTAAAAGGGTAGGGAAGCGCAACCAAACAGGTGATGGTAGCGATGGAGGAATAAAGAGAAACAAACTACGGGCATCCTGACCCACCCCGGCTTTCTTACCTTTCACTTGACTTTCGTACTCGGCTACGATCTCTTTGTCCTTCTTGAATCTGCTTGAGGATGACATTATCCAGACGGTTTTTTTCGTTTTACACTGCTAGAGAAGACTCCGGAGTTGGGATTACAGGATTATCGCTTTCCCACAGAGAAAGGGGGATCGGCTGGGTTAGGCGCGGCACTAAGCAACGCGTCCCACGCCAGAGCCTGCCGGTTCTCGGAGTAGCTGGCGTAGGTCCCTTCAGCTCACCTCCACAAAAGAGGGGCTGAAGAGGCGGCTTTAAACTAATCCCGGGGCGGGCACCATCTCCAGCAGTAAGGATTGGGGGGAAGAGAGCAGCACAAGGCGGGGCCCCGTTCGCCTCCTTTCGCTCCGTACCGCGGCTGCCCTTCTCCGAAGCTTCGATTAAGTCACTGGAACCGTCGAGTGTTCCCTGGAAGCATCGCTTGCCTCGGGCGAGGAGAAGGGATGGATCCCGGGTGGTGCTCGGCTAGTCTCCGGCGCGTCCGGCGGCACTCGAGGAACTGTCGGCAGCTGCTATCGTTGTTGTCGCCTCCTCCCGGAGAGCGAGAGCTACGCAGGCGACCCGCTCCCAAGAGACCTGGGCGAGGCGCCGTCTAACTCAACCTCCAGCAGCCCCTCAAAGCGTCTCCCGGATAAGCCAGCAGCCTCGCCCTCCCAACAAAGTTCTCGCTTCGCCCTTTCCTTCGCCTGCTCCCGCTCGCCTCGCCTCCTCCAGCTGGTGCCGCCGCCAAGCCTTTAACTGAGCCCGCCGCTTTGCCGCCGCTTCCCGCAGCTGTTGGCCTGAAACGGGAAAGGGGAAAGGAGACCAGCAGCCCATCCGAAGGCGCTCAAACAAGGAGAAAGACTTTAACCTCCTGCCCAGCGGCGCCCAAGTGCCTATCGAGTTCTTTCCCCACCCTGTGCAGAGCGACGTCTCTAGTAGCCAACGGCAACTACGCAAGTTCTTCTGCCGCCCAATGGCAGAGAGCAGAAGGCGGGACGTAGCGAGCGAGGTTGCCGAGTGCCTCCCGGGGTGAAGAAGCGAGCGGCCTGTGCCCAGGCTGACGCTGGAGGCTGTGCTTAAACGCCGGCTTTGCTAAGCGCGCTGCTGCTGCTGAGCGGGACTCAAAGCAGCTGCAGAGGGGGAGGGACGGCAGTTGAGCCGCGCGGCGCCTCTCCTCTTCCCTCTCCCGGCGAGCATCTGGTGAGCGGGGCTGTGCTGGGGAAAGGAGTGCTGGGCGAAGATAAGGTGTCGGAAAGCGCTCGGTCCCGGCGTGGAAAGTAAATGCGGTTCTGCCTGAGGAGGAGGAAAGAGAAGGGCGGTTGCTTAGTTTGGAGATCGCGTCTGCAACCTTGTCGCAAGATCGCCAGAGCATTGTTTCCTTGTGTTCGCTTGAAAACCGTGTTCATCTTCTAGGTGCCTCCGCCATCCCGTCCCTTTTAAGAATCCTACTAAATAGCTATTAGAGGGGAAACTAGAGAGTATTGTGATGATCTTACACCGAGAAATAATGTATAGATGTGCGCACGCATCTATATATCTTCCACGAATGCGCCTGGAAGTATAAGAAGTAACCACACCCATCTTTGTGGAAGACGCGCGCGGTCCAGATCCGAAGGCGAAGGAATAACTTAATGCCACGGAGAAGGTCCTCGGCTTGCGAAATATAGATAGTACATTGATGCTTGTAAGACTGACAGAAAATTACGCTGCTATTGTTAAGTTGCGAGCAATGATAGAAATCTTTTAGATTTCTTGTTTTTCTAAACTGTTTCCAAGATTGATGTTTCGTGGCATTTAAGCAGTGTACTAAATAATATATATCTCATGTATAATCCGTTTTTCCAAGGAGCTGAGATGACTTCCTCAACCAGTTTTACAATAATTCTGTGAAGATAATAGGTTCAGATGTGTTTCCCAGTAGTGGGATTCATGGTCGAATAAGAGTTGAAACATGCTTGGACAGCTGCAGTTTGGAAATCCAAAAAAATCCAAGCCTAAAATCAGATGCAGAATAATTCAATGTTGGTTGATGGTGAGGGTCATTTCTCCCACAGAGCTGCAAATGATTTAAAGAAGCTTTATTTGCACTATCTGTGAAGGGACTGACCTGGCCTTTATATTGGGCAGTTGATAGCAACATAAAAGAAGTGTGCATTGGCGGGGAGGGGCATGATTCTAGCTCTTATCTGTAGTCTGACCCTAGTTTTCAATTTGACTATTTAAACATAATAGTCCATGCCTTTCTATGACAAACCTTATTTTACCCAACTTGGATTTTAAAAATTATTTTTTTTCAGTATTACACTTAGAAGTAAATGAAGCAAGATAGGTCTACCAATTAAAATTCATCATCCCATTAAACCACTACATCATTCATTGAGATATTATTTAAAGCAAAATGTGCTTTCATTTAAAAAAGATTTCTGTTGCATATGGAAATTTTAATTGAACAATCACTTTCAGGGAATTCTATATTAAATACCAGAATAATTGTTACTTATTCTAGTACAGGATGTTAGGCACAACTATAGGACTTGGTAGGCCCTACAGATAGCCCTAGGCTGATATGTACATTTCAGGTTGCAGTATAGTCATGGGAAACATGTCTGGTACTGAAGCTATCTTTCTTCAGATAATCAAGTCAAAGTTTATTAACCAAATTTTATGTGGACTGTAATATGGCTTGGCTGAATTAATTAGAATAATCATCTTCTAAGGATCGAAGAAAGATTCTAATCTAGGCTTATAATGGTACAATTGTCTTTCAAGTTGTTAAAGGCGTTACTAAGCTCATGGTCTGAAGTCACTGACTAAATGACAAGAAATCATGTTTGGATCATAGAATGTAAGTCAAAAAGAATTTAAATGAGAATAGAGAGAACATTGAGGACATCTGCAAGGTTATTTTTCAAAAGCTGTTTTTATTTATATATATGGGAAGGGCTCATAAAGTATAGCTTTCACTTAAACGAAATAATGTTTTTATGTTTTTTATGACCCATTTTCATTAACATGCAGTCTGTTTGAAGCTTAGCTCATTCTATTTTTTTTCCTGCTAATGTGATTATTTCATTTTAGACAAATCTCTTCACTTGCTGCTTAATCCTTTTCTATTTACACAATGTAGACTTATAAAAGGGAGGCATTTTATCAGGCAAACTCTAGTGGGAGTAGTTCATGGTAGTATATCTGGTCATTAATATAAATTGCACATACTGTTTATAGGTAAATTGAAGTAATTATACTGGGTCAGAAAGAAGATTGCATATGCAGATATAAGCTCTTCTATTAAAATATTAAAGTATTTGATGAAAGAGATCTATTTGTTCTTTATACAGAAGAAATTCTAAAAACTGGCAAGAAGGAACAGCTTAAGCTACCTTATAAAGAATATATAATTGAGTTATTGCCAGTATTGCCTACAGGAAATGTGGCTTTCTGTATGTTGCTAAAGGACAACTTCTGGTAGTTGCTACAACTGAGAAACACCACTTTCTCATCCCAGTGTAGAAGTTGTGGTACACAGCTCCATGGGTTCAAACAGGGTTTTTCCCCCCTCACATCTGCAACTTTCTGCAGACAAAACATGCATCTTACTATTAAATTTTAAATAATAAATTTATCAGCAATTAAAAGATTTGTTTATATTTTCAAGAGGAGTGTCCCCAATTCATAACATCATGGGTTGGTCTAAAGCAGTGGTCCCCAACCCCCGGTCCGCGGACCGGTGCCGGGCCGTGGAGTACCTGGCACCGGGCCGCGCAGCGGCCGGGGGACATGAACGCTGCAGCGCAAAGGCTCCTGGGCCGTGCGCAATGGGCCGTGCGCAAAAGCTCCTGGGCCGTGCCCCCACCCCTGCGCGCGCTCAGTGGGCCGCGGTGATAAAAAGGTTGGGGACCACTGGTCTAAAGGATGTAGAGTATATGGTGTTTTAGGAGTAGCCTCATCTGACTATATGAGAAGGACATCTAATTGCTCATCCCATGTTCCTTTAATTGCAGCTACTATGTAAGATTCCTTACAAAACTTTTTAAAAACACACCCTTATGAACCAGACTTTTCCTCAATCCCTACCCCCATTGAGGCCACTTAATTTTATATTTATTTGATCCAATGTTAAAGTAGTGTTTTTCATCTAATCCTGAAGCACAGTTTGTGATATTTCACCAGAATTTGACATGTTCCTATTGGTCATTTTCTGCTATAGTGGACACATTTCTCTCCACTGATCACTGGAGACTTTTGTATAACATTAAGCCCTCACTATGCAGGCTGTTTGTCTACACAGGTACTGATTTATATGCCAGAGCAGGGCCAAAAACAAATGGCACAATGGGCTGATGGAGTGAGCAATAGAGGGAGAGATGTCAATGGACAAAAGTGATGGAGAAAATTATATCTCCTTGACTGAAGATAGAGTGAGAAAGTAAGAAAAAAAAGCAAGGTTCAGAGAAGACCAAATCCATCTGCCCAAACTCAGCTCTATTTTCCCAGTCCCATGCAACATTAGGGAGAAGGACTAGGGAATGTTTTTCCTGTTGGCAGGAAATCTAATAACTTTCCTTAATTTGTTGCACATTAAAGCTGTCGAGACAGCACCATTTGCCAGCCTTGTTGCTGAGGCGGAATAGAGATCAGCTGTTGAGACAGCAAATTATGCTGGCCTACTTTGTGTCGCCTCACTGGCTGGAGCAGAACATGTTGAACTGGCCGCCTGGATGTGCCTGTAGACTCAGGAACTGTAAATTATAGGGATCAGCACACATTTCTCCGTCATAAAAGCAGTGATTTATGTTTAAACACATGATGTCATAACTATAAATGCACAGGCATAACAAAATAGTACTAAAAGCTTTTGCATTGCAGTCTTTCATTATATATTCTCATTAGCTGTTGAACAGTTTATGAGTTATGCTATTAAAAAAAGAGACATCCTTTGAATACCTTTCCTGAAATATCACTTACTAAGCTCACATCATAATGAAACCCACTAGCTTCCTTAAGTGAGAAAGTTGAAACTTATTTTCAAGGGAACAGTCTGCAGAAATGATACATGAAATTCTAAACATGAAATGCTTTTATTAGATTTTATTAGGATTTCCAAGATAATTATCATCATCATTATGAAGGACGAGCATGTACAATGTTAGCAGAATTAACAAGCATATATTCTGTGTGTATAAACAAAATACAGATTTACTTAAAATTATGCTTAATATGAAGACTTTTCTGTAATTACTAATGTTTCTATTTAATTTCTATATTAAACAAAAACATAAGAATATAGTTCTTAGTTTGGTAGTCAATACCTGATAATTCATTTACTTCCAATTAATTTCAGTGGATCATATGATCAGGTTTGGATACAACCCATTCAGTTGGCTATAAAAAAATTAACATTTTTAAACAAAGGTTAGCTAAATTAAAATGCTAGGATGTGTATGTATAATTTTTTTGCAGCAATACAAGGTAGTTTCCCATTGCCTTCTTCCAAAAGCCATGGGATTCAGACAATATTAGCAAGATGGTTCCACAGAAATAGAAGTATTTAGTGGTCTTTGGGCCAGATGAAAAAATTTACTTCATGAACTAGAATTCAGTTAAAAAGTTCAGTATTTGAAAAAGGACTTTTTCAAATAACCATTAGATAGAACTCTGTAATACAGCACTGTTACTTTCTGAATGGTTTTAGAACCTGAATGGAAAATTATCATTCATTGAATGCTTTGATAATGGCTAATTTTATTTTTTTAGCTAGATGGGTAATCTACAACCACACATATGACAAACTGATTCTTTTACATTAATTGAGGAAAAGCTTTGCTTTGCTTTGCTTTGCTTTTAGCAAGAATCCTTTAGTAGCTGGGAATATATCTGAGATGGGTGGCATTTACCTCTGAGTAAACCAACTTTTTCCTGCCAACATCCTGCTCTACAGCCTGATTGCGGAGAGGGTTGTTGCTGAGAGAGATGAACAATGAATACCAGGACAGCGCACCAAG